ATGTAATAAGCACCCGAATTTGTTCCATTTGAATCATTATCGACCCATTATTCGTTTAACTGACGGACACAGGTTAATTTAAATGGTCAATCTTTGTAAGTTCATACATACAAACACTGCACTTAGAACGATTTGTATTAAAAATACAAAGAGGAGACATATTTTAAATTTTTTCATTTTATTGCAATATAAATAATCAAATCTGCTTAGAATAATAACGCATAGAATGATAGTTTCATATCAAACGAACTGTCACAAGTGTGGCAAAAATCGAATTCATGTAGGCTACTTTTAGTAGTAGGTTCATTTTCGGTTTTAGTGAATATTTATATAAAAATACAAGTTGCAACGCGTCACTTACTTGTGTAATGTGATGTTAGTATCTATTTTATGTTTGTCTGACGTATTTTTACACTCATTTACCGCACATTTCGTCATTTTTAGCTAAAATTCTGGAGCTGTTCGCGGTGCAAGTTGACCTTGAGCACTGAAGGCCCGCCCGCTCGTGTAGGCCCTTTTGGCGCGCTTCAATTTGTTTCACTTAGCGTATGCGGGCTAGGTTTCTATGCGTTATTATTCTAAGCAAATCAAAAAAGTTAGAATGCAATTAGTAATCATAAGAACGTCGTAACATTCATAATTCAGACATTTTTGGCAAAATTTTACCTTCTTTCATTATCTATCGATAAAACTGTCGACAACAGCTACATAACTATTTAAAATTTTACAAAAACTGGCAACACTGCAACTGTCATTTTACTCCATCTTCAAAAAAGACAGACTATAGCTTTACGACCCCATAAGGTCGTTATATCCTACGCCCCTTCGGTTTGAAATCCAATAAAATAAAATGAAAGATACGATTTTCGATCAATACGACATTTAGAATTTGACAACACGAAAAAGAACGTCGTCTGCACATACCGTAATGATCTTGTAAGGATTCTAATTTTAAATTGTGATCCGATCATTTATGCTTTTAATATTGGACGAATTTTTAATACAATTTGACGCATTGCAAACAAAACAAATACGTCGAACGACGAAACGAAAGACATCGTTACAACCCCAAGAAGTTTAGCAGCTAAAAAGTATCAACAAATGACTAAACCTCTAGCGTTTTATCAAAAAAATATAGCTAATATCGTACGCAATGTCGAAACTTGTCAATAAGTTATAATTATCTAAGTGATATGCAATATATTTTTAGGCAGGCTCATTTTCTTTTAAATTATACTAATTACAAAAAGTATACCAAGCGAACTATAGCGAATTATTCATATTTAACGCGTTAAAAAAAAACAAATTTTAGTACTAAGAAAGAACATGGTATTATCATGTTAGACATGAATGTGAATCGTATTTTTACACGTAAAATATAATTGCTTTGTTTGTCTAATTTTTGTTCAATTTCAACTTTATACCCATATAGTTCTATTGTAATTTGTTTTAAGGCAGCCCCTTGACGACTACACAAATTATTTGATCTCAACTAGCGAATTCCCTATGAGTACAAGAGTAACGGAACTCACTCCGGGGCACTACCGGCTGGTACACAGCACACCAAGACCAGAACCAGAAAATTATTTCCCCAAATTATTTCTTCCGGGTACCGAACCTGGGGCCTCCTCATCTAGCGCCCACAGTTCAAGACGTTACGCCACCAATGTCATGGTTTATAAGTTCCTGTAGTGCAAGTTAGGGGCGTAGGTAGTGCAAGATGCAGCAAAAGCTGAACTCGATGCGAAGGCTATAATTACGCTGGCGGTGCACACTCAACATACACGAGAGTTCGAACACACCAGCACCAACCCAAGTTGGAGTCGAAGTGGTGGCCATTGCCGAACATGCTCGGATACGGAGATGTTTTGGAGGGCCACGCCACCGCGCTGCAGAACATCACATCACTAGGCTATAGACGCGATGTTCAACGTAGTGGCAGAAAGTTAGGAATCAGAAAAAGACTTGCTAGAGAAGCTTCTGGGATCACCTGAAGAACCCACTCACTGTACTGCTGAATAAAGTCACAATAACAAAGAACGTTCGGTAATTTCCAAAATGTTAGTCGCAGTAGAGCTCCATGTGAAAGTCTTAGGAAGTACTGTCTTACCTATTTCTGCCGCCATGCCAGAACGCAGTAATTAGCATTAAAGGGTAAGGATGATGGTGAAAGTACAGGCACAGTGCGATCTTTGCGATTTAAAATTCTGAGTGGCACTGCAACTGCTATGGATAGACATCTCGCTTACCACCAGACGCTTGTTCGTTTTGTCACTTCGTGTCATAAAAAAATATTTTGAACAATGATTGCAGAATTTGTGACCTCGGGTCTTTTGGTCTTTCATCCATTGAAGCTTCGCCTTCAAGTTACCAGGTTATGTAATCTCTGATGATAATACCATGTTTTGAACAGTATTTGCCATTTATCACAATAGGAAAACAGCCTTTGGCATAATTTAAATGACAGTAATAACGCTACAGCCCACCAAGAAAAAAACCACCGTAGTCTGACTTAGTCCTCTCCAATACCATTGTAACACTTTTTATCATAGTCTTATAATTACTTACTAAATATGAAGTTAAAATGTGTGAACAAGCTTCTTATATAATATAATAATAAAAAGTAGTTAAACTTTAAATTTTAAATTCTATGTATAGATTTTCAAGATTTTTTTTTATTATTTCATGTATAAGTAGTAATTTATCTAACTATATCTACTTCTAGTGCACTATCTTTTAGCTGTGGTCAATTACTAAGGCTCTACGTAGATGTGGTATCTTTTATTGGGTTACTTCTCCACCAAATCTTGTTTGTGGATTCTATATCAAACCCAAACTGTCAGACACGTTTTTGCTGCATTTTTTTCGATAACAAATCTTAGATACGCCTAAATTATACGAACCATAAACAATTGACCCTTATTATTTTTAACTATCCCCATATATTTGATATTCGAATTATTTACTCCAATGAAAATACCACATACTACGTCGGCTCTAACAAGCGGTCTATATCTTTCACTATTTGTGACGATCGCGTGGACAATAAAATACTCTCTTTTATAAATCGGAGTAGTTTCACCATAAAAATATTATTGCTTTCAGAAGTTTCGCGTTACTGTTAAAAATATTCACTTTTTTAATTTTAATTTTTTTTTTCTCTCTTTTTCTCATTGTTATTTTCAATATTTAAATATTATCAGCGCTCCTGAAGCAATCGTGCACACTATCCAAAAATATATACGCATGACCACTAGCTAAATGAACTATTTATCCATTCGAAATCATAAAGGAGAATAACGTTTATGGAAAATTAATACATCAAAACTTTTGGCGCAATACGTTTCGAAATACTGGTTATTGTATTCGCCAACACTACATATAGATATATAAATATAACATCTTAAAATTAGCAATCCAAAAATATAAAATATACATGTTGTATTAGTGCCCCCTCGGGTGCTCTTGCCCCGCAAGCGAATCGTTATTTTGCCAGTTTTGTGGTTTCGCTTGTCGCCTTCGCGCGGCTTTTGCCGAGTCGCCACCGGAGGGTGCAAAAGCCGCCACAACTGGACGGTTATTCTCATCTGCGTGACTTCCCATCGATTTCTCCTAACTTTTGTCCAGTTTACTCCCAACTTATTCCAACCCGCATATAATTAAACGCTCCCAAATTTATCACAATACAAAATTCGTATTCACAAAACTTTGGGAGTAAACAAGACATCACCTTATGCCAACTCTGGGCCTATCGAATTTTTATGAATGAATGTAGGAAAGGAATTCAATCAAACGAAATATTCAAATGAAGACACTTGAAATTATACGATTAAAATAGAAATAGAATACAATAGAATTAAAGATTGAATTTTGAGAATCAATCGAGAGACAAGAATTGGAAGAGTGAAAAGAATTCAGAAATCTGATCCTGGCCCTGCACAAGCAAAGCAATCTTTAATCGTTCGTAACTTTTGCTTTATAAAAATACGAATCGAAAATATCTGACGGCTGCACGTCGTCTTATGGTTATAAGCTATGATTATTTCTATCTTAACTATGAACTATATTACTACGTTAAAATATCAGAGAATCGGAAAAGGGGAATATTTATGTAGTTTATTTTCTATATTTTAAATGGTGCACAACCTTATTTCTTCATGAACGCTATATAAATATGGCATTAGCTTTATCGAGGATCTAAAATAAAAAATACTATCTAATAAACTAATCGTAGTAGAGATCGAAATTTATTAAGGGACTCTATAGATCGTTGAAATAAGAACTAGGGGTGGGGAAACAGAAATTGTTATCAACTGAATAGGTAATATAGAAATCGTTACAAACAGACCTAATAAAGATAAAGAAAGTAAAGGAAGAAGAAATGAACATGTCGAGCAAAAAGGAATGGTCGAATATGAACACTAAATTTAAGTCTTTGAAAATGTTAAGAACTTTAAAGATGTAAAATCATGTTCGATGATTGCTAAGGCTCACTGCATAGACTAAAAAAAATTAACCTACTTAGGCTGGAATGAAACCTATACGGTAGACGTTCGACCAATAGTAAAACTAACGGCATAATTTATTTTTAGTTTTCTTAAATACGATAAAATCTCAAAACATTCACAGCTCATCGGGTTTATTGTATCGTACGCTAGGTGCATCTACTATTATAAGAACAGTGGCATTTTAATAACTTGAATTTGTACTTAACCTACAGTTAAACTCCGCGTTCACAGAAACAAATAGCCTAGACTTGAGTTTTGACTTGACTTCAACACTTTTGCAATTCCAAAATCAATATTAAACGTAGAAGAGACTGACAATGTCAATGACAATTTGTATGAGATTAAACGTTTCAATATCTGTGACAAAAACGAACATTACAAAAATTCCGATCTTTACAAAAAGAAAAAGATTACGAATACATTGATGATATAATTTACTTTACGTCCAATTTGGTATTTTCAAAAATATAATTCCAATAAAAATTCTAAACAAATGTCTCAAAAATACTTTATGAAAATATAATACAAATACGATAAAATTTATACTAAATATAACCCTGTGTATGACCTGAAGAGTTTAAACAAAGATACATTTAAAAAACTCCGAACAAGTCATAAAGAAATAAAACGTAGAAATGCAATAGTTGATTCAGTAATATACACTGTGTTCGATAGTCAAAACTTCGTTACAGGTACTACGACGAACGTAAACTTAATAATTACTTCAATAGACAAGGCCTGAGTCATCTCACAACTCGAAGAATAAGACCTGTTTCAAACAATTGATCAGATATATCGAATGACACTTTGATAAGTGCAGGCAGTAACGTTTAGTAATGAAGCATTGAGACGAAGTAAAGTTTTTCAAAAATCAACGTTATTGAAGTTTTACGATAAAGGGCAATTAACTTGAATAAGATTTTTTTTTAAACCCTCTCTCGTTGCCAGGCAATCTGAACTTTATTGCCAAAGGTAGATAAGGATACATCTTAATGTTGTTACGTGTACTTATAATAGTCCCGTCATTTCTCCACGTTAATATTTTTGGCAGACATGATTTTCAATCCAATTTCATCTAGTTTGATCCATCTTAATTTTCTATTCCGCCCTCATTTTCCTTGACGTTATATGAAAAGGTTTAAGACGATTGATTGAAATATCAAAGAGCACATTGGGTATCGGTCACATTCTGAATAGTAGTTCTAGTAGCAAATCTTCATCGGCGTCCAGCGGGGAATGCGGTTGTAAGTAGTTCACCGCCATTCTAGAACAAGTTGAATAAAATCTAATAAAGCCGTTAATAGGACATCAATATAAAAAAATACCCGTACAAAAATGAGGTTTATTCTGTTAGAGAAATAATTAACTTCAGTACTCCAAACCAGTCCTTTTATTTTAAACTTCCAGTTGAGAGAGTGGTGAGAAACTTAATAATAGCCAGCAAAATTTGTTATTTTAACCAAAGGAACCAACAACGACAGCCCAGCTCTGAGATTCCCGCTTTAATTTTTTTTTAAGTCTCTCTCTCGTTCAGAAATTTACTCTGAATCGATAACAATTCCAAAGTTAAAATTAATGAATACATTCATTCAGAAATCTAACATGAGCGATTTTCGCTAATTAAAATTTAAAATAGAATCCGGACAATCAGGAGTTCAATTTAAATTTTTTTTCGATAAGACAACAACTTATCTGCCTATATAGTGTATCTGCACTAGATATAATACCTTGTCTCACGTGCATAAATGGCATAGCCGTTAACCTGTAAATCTTTCGTAGTGAGAGCTCGATAAGACTGGGTCAGCCATTCTGAGTCTAAATGACACATATACTGTTGAATGGTTGTACTATCTTCCTTCTTTTGTTCACTCTCATTCGCTTTCTACACTCTCGTCATTCATTATTTTCTTCATTCATGCACATTCTTAATTGCTTTATTACGGCTCTGTTCAATTTATAATTTTATGCACACAGGTATTTGACCTTTTAAGTATTCAGTTGAAATGAAAGTAGAACAAGTTATATCTGAAAAATTTGTAAACATGACTTGGCGTATTCGAATAATAGGGATTCAAAAACTCTCAAAGTGTCGCAACAGCAATATTAGAGTTACCTATTGGCCGTGGGCTGCATACTGATGGTGTGCGGCGAGGAGTTTCGGCGGACATCCTGTAAGAGCTGGGCCACCTTCCCGCTTTCGGCTCGTGCGTTCTGCAACCTGCGGACGTAAAACAGTTATTTAATTCCACCTTCACCTTTCCATCATCGGAGGACTAGACGCCGCCTGAGGTTCCACCCTATTTTGTGAATATTCCGAAGATTCGCACGAAATGTTACCCTTCCACATTTATTAAAGCTTGATATTTTGAACTGTGGTTTGAATCGGAAAGGGAATAATACAGTTGAATTGATTTTTTAAAAATAAATATATAAATATATTTTTTAATAATAGACACACGCTTGGCCACAATTGAATGGACCCAAATTGTACTTTTCGGAAAACACAGAGTATTATATTCCTTTGCCGTACGCATCAGAAAGGAGGAAGCAAAGCGCTTATTACGAATAGATGCTATATCAACGACTTAAGGATGGATAAATTTTAAGAATCAAGCTTTTTTTGCTCCTTATACAGGGAGCCGCCGCAGGATAGCTAGTATTTAAACGTATGCATACGTTTAAGAGCGATGTCACACGGGTGCTGCCGGCACGTTGGGTCGTCACAATGCTATAATTTCGACACACACTAGCTGTGCGGTGTCGCAATGTAACGCCGTCGCTTACTTACGCAGCGCAGCTCCCCTCCCCACTGCGTCTCCTAACCCCTTGTTCTATGCGCACGCATTCCGACGCCGCGTGCCGCTTTGACGCACAATGTTAGACAACGTTGCTCTGATCCCACAGTAAGTAGCTAAAACACTTATTGTGTTATGGAAGTCGGGAACAACGACGGTTCTACAAACACCCAGCCGGAGACAATATATAAAGTTTCTTACCACGGTATGACTTCTTTTTATTTTCCCAATATTTCGGAACGGTTGCACGCTCCATGGTCACGGGTTGACTGGACGGCGGCAGATGACAGCGTTAAGAGCAGACTTATCTGTCTACCCTCTTGCGCTGCCGACGACTACCTTCATCGCGATTTGTTGTGGTGTTACCATTGTCACTCACTTTTTTCACACAAACCACACTCACTGTATCCACACGCGAAACTGAACTCGAGGAGTTTTTGTTTTTATTACTGCACGCACTAAGGACCGGATTCCATGCACTGGACAGTTTAAAACCATCATCACGGTTAAATGTTTTGTACTTCGTGATCTCGATGGCTTCTCGTACCAACCGTGGTATGTAGTGACGTTCTGTCGAGAGTACCTGGGGGCTATGCAACTCGATCCAGTGGTTAGCGTCAGTCTGTGTGAGATGTTGTGCTATAGCCGACTTCTATGCATCATTGTTTTTTACTGCTCGGATGTGTTCCTTCGTAAGATCGACAATTGTTCGTTTAGTCTGACCGATATACGAGCTCCCACAACTGCAGTTCACTTTATAGACACCCGATGTTTGTAAAGGAAGGTGGTCTTTTGGTGAACGTAACATTTTTCCTGTTTTGGTTAGTTGTCGAGAGCGCAAGAGAGTAGACAGATATGTCTGCTCTTAAAGCTGTCATCTGCCGCCAACCCGTGACCATGGAGCGTGCAACCGTTCCGATATATCGGGAAAATAAAAAGAAGTCATACCGTGGTAAGCAACCTGACATTAGTGATAATCATTTAGTGAATAACCAAAATCAATATATAAAGTTTTTTCTACACCGGTGTGCAACCCACTCGACCACAGAGGTCGTCGATCATTTGGCGTGTAATTGTAATTCATATGTAGTACAACGCAGCGTCACCGCTCAGGCGTCGCAACCCATCGTGTTGCATCGCCCTAACAAGAATTTTGAGAACGCAGACAAAAACACCGTTGGGCTCATCTAATTAGCCGAAAAAATCTTTTTCTTATAACAAAAGAAAAAACAATTCACAATGAATTTCCGCTTAAATTCTTGTACTTACGTTAGTCGTGAATTCCTCCCAAGTACTAAGCAGCGTGGAAATAATTAAAAAGTTTTCATCGTTACAATTTTACAAAGGCCAGAGTTAAAACTTATTACGTATTTATTCACAAGAAACAAACAGTCGCTGACAAAGTAACAACAATGGCTATTTACAAATAACCTGAGAGTTTCATAAAGTACGTGCCTCTACCATGAAGTTACAGTGGCTATTATCGCTAGCGACTGTGTAAAATGTTTGTTTATTTTGCCGTAAAAAATTGTGAAGTAATTTACGCGATCGCTAGCGACAACTGTCACAGCAAACTCGTGGTAAGTTGTGGCGTTAAGTCCGTTCATTCCCAATAGTCCCATGTACTCAGTTCCACGTGGAACAAATTCCCACCAGTTTCTCGTTCACGTGCAAATGAAATCACGATTGTGCTTTGAACAAATTCAAAAACGGAGTACTATCTATTATACCTATGTATATTTATGTGTAATAGAATATGTAATTATTTTTTTATTATTTTTATTAGGCACGAAAGGACACACCATTAGTTTCTACACATTACACACCATTCTTTTCCTGTATGTGACTGAGCATCGCAAAGTTAGGTGTGTCATGCCGGTCATTTTAAACCCCCACGGCACCAGTTGGTAGATGAGATCATTTTGACCCACCACGACGATGAACGTGTTAATGCAAATGTTACAAAAAGTTATTAATTAAATACCTTATTTTCAAATGTTTCAAGGAAACATTGCAATGTACACTAATTGTGGTTTACATTATAGTGTCATTTCCTGTGTGTGACAATCGCGAAAACTTTAGAACTCGATATTTTTAACATCATTATTAACAATGTTAAGAATTTAAATTATAAGAACAATAAACAATACGTAATCAGAAAATCTGCTTACGAGAAACAAAACAACAAAGTTGTTGAAAGCCATTTATCCGCAAGCAGCAATAGAAAAGTTGGAAAATCTTAAAGCTATATTTGAGGAAATAAACAGGATTAACGTTTCTGTTTCGGAATCTTGTAAAAGAACTTATTTAGGCCTTCTTCACCTAGTATTGTTTTTTATATATAATATTAAGTGACGGGACGAACAAGTAGTGCTTTTGAAGGCATAAGTTGACAAGTCACATGTGCCTGTAATTTCACCATCACACATACCCTTCAAAACCGGAATGCTCACATTAATGCTTGGCGGCCGAAATAGGCAAGGTGGCAGGCAGTACTTCCCTGGACGATCTCTTTCACAGGGAGCTTTACTATTCTTTATTGCACATTTATGACTTTTTCAAATATCTGTTTTTATTTAATACAAAAACGAAAATTCTGCCTATGTGAAATATATAACTCTCTACAAAAATTTATTGACTTATTTTGTTCATAGAATCTTTAAACCTCTCCTGAAAATTTGTCATTTTACAGATATGGCCTCATTGCGACGAGGATGCGAGTTCTAGTCTATAAATAAACGCGCGGCTAGCGCGAGCGCGACATAGAAGCGCGAGATATTAGCGGGCTTTACACAGACACTCTATCGCGTGTGATACAGCAATCGTGCGCTGTTGAGCGCGCGTATAAATACGTGGGAAGGAAAAGGACAAGAACACGCAATTGCGCTCTTCAGTCGCGCGGCGCACTCCGATACGCGCCAGTATAACGCGGCTTATCCTGCGCTATTAGTGCAGTCCTGTACACGCTCCTAATCACGCGCGATAGAGTGACTTTGTAAAGGGGGATATCGCTATTCTCTACGCGAGAATAGCCGTATGTCGCTCTCACGCTAGTCGCGCTCTATAGTGCTAGCCCTATTGCAGCTTTACCATGAATAATTCAATCGTATTTATAGGTCGTTATACCGAATAAATTCCGATTTAATTTGTATTACAGTCGCCCTTATGACTTTTGAAGTGTACCGCAATCTGATAAAAGTAGAACAAAACGTTATCTACACCTACATGTATCTATCTTATTTAATCTATCTACCTTGACTTTCTTTATCTGCGTCGAGTTAACGGAGATTTCTAACTTTCTTATTAAAATCTCGGGGACCCAAAAGTTCGCCTCAATCGGAGTTTCCTTCGACCTTTTTTGGGCCTTCATTATAATCACAGATACCTAACGGAGTACCAATCGGCTTTTAAGGGTCGCCGTTTGATGAAAGATTATTATTATCTGAAAGAAACGCGTAAATTTTTAATATAAAAAAAACTTCGTAATATCTTTTTGATTCAAAAGGATATGGCGTAGGATGATAAGGTTGGCGATATTTAAATTAGTTTCTTGAATGAGGAATGCGATGATACTTAATATTAACATTAGGAGAAAAAAACAAGAATACTATTTAGTAGCAGTAGAGCTCCTTGTAAAAGAATTCTTCAAGGTATTTCTGGCGCCAAATAATACAATTAGTATTTTTGCTTTCCGGTTTTAAAGTGTTATAACGCGAAGCAAGATCGAAGGAACCCGTGTAGTTGTCATTGCAATAGTGAAAAAAAATCTCTAATTAACCGCGACGTGACCTCGCGACCCCAAGCTTTGCAGGCGGACTCTGCCACTAAGCCACTAAGCCGCATCATTAATAGTAAATAGTTTATTATAGATGCTTAACTTAAATCTTACCAAAAATTTCCGTGTCATAAAATGTTTAAGGGCCCAGTTACACAACGCGAAAATTTTAGTGCTGCCGCCCCACGGTAACCGTCGGGCTACCACGCTTTCACGTACATTAATGGCGAATCTTAATTCTATTCACTAGGCAACAACGTTTAAATTCCTCGGAATAATAAAGCCGCGTGATTGCGATGATAGTACAAATCCGCGTATGTAGAATATTGTTAAAAAGTTTCTAAGGCTTTTTTTTTAAATGAAACGAAATATTTATTCGCAAGCAAACACGGTAACAAAAGATATTATTATAGTGAAGAACACGTGTTGCACCAACTACTGGCACGCAAATATTAAAATTAAATTGAAATTAAATAATGTCGTACATTAAAATTATATAATTTGTCAAATAGGAAATGTCAAATTAAATTAAGTAAAAATGCCAATAAATAGCAACGGCAATAAAATCATAAATTAAACAATATCAAAGAAGTAAGTACAGCATAAATATAAACAAAAGGTCACTTTCTTTTTATTATTAAAAAATCTTTGTTGTCATATAAACACAGATCATATAGCACATCAAATAACCTTTTTTTTAAATATTTTTATAGATAAGTCTGCGATAGCTGCAGGCAAAGCATTATATTTTTGTATGGATACGTTATAGCAATTCCTATAAAAGCAAGTAGTGTTATGGGTGGGGCCAGCTAAGTGGTTTGGATATCTGGTTAAAAAACTACATACTTCAAGTTTCCTAATAAATAAGACCAAGTTTTTTTTTTAACAAACACGCATACCTCATATACGTACTGCCAGCATATCAAGCTACACATTGACGTATTTGGTTCCGTTGCACTGGGGGCGATTTTCGTACAAAAATGTGTAGTCTGATGTGCCGTTGGCGGGAAGAGTTACAAGATTTAGCTTTCTAAAAAGTTGTCTACAAGATTCAGGCGGGCCTACTCTACATACAGCTCTGACACATTTTTTCCGGATAGCAAATACACGGTTTATCTCTACGCAGTTCCCCCAGATGATGAGGCCATACCGCAAGTTTGATCAGACAAATGAATGGTAGCCCATCAAGGCAGTCCTCTGATCACATATGTGCGTTAGACGATGTAAACCAAATACAAATCGATTCATCTTTGCACATATTAAATTAACCTGTGGTTTCATGTCAGTTGGGAGTCCAATACTATGCCGAAAAAATTGCTGGATGAGCATTCCACAATTTCATCTCCATGACAACTTACAGTATATACATTACACTTTTATACTATGGTAAGCTACACGCCTGTATGTAACAGTTGCAGTGCCACTCAGAGCTTTAAATCGCAAAGATCTGAGGGGCATTGCCACTGCGACCATCACCCTGAGACATCAGTTGACAAGTCTCATGTGCCTGTGATTTCATCGAAATTTTTGCTCTGTAAGGATTAATTCCTGTTATCTATCGACTGATAATAAGAGATTCCCTTAAATCACGTTAATTTGATCGCCACCACATTTACGCGGGTTTGATTTGGCCACAAAATTAACAAAATGGAAACATCCCCTTACAGGATGCAGGACTTTACAAGCTTGACTGTGAGTGCGGTCTCTCTTATATTGGACAAACAAAGTGAAGTATTTGTACCCGCGTCAAAGAACATAGAGCTGCTGTCAAACACCGCCGCGTAAACAAGTCTGCAGTCTGCAAGCATGTCATGGATAAACCTACACATTCAATGAAGTTTGACAAACCCCAGGTCCTTGCAAAAGAAGTCCGTTATCTACCCAGGATGCCGCGAGAGGCCATTGAAATTAAAAAACATCCTAATTTCAACAGGGAAGATGGTTTCTCCGTACCACCAGTTTGGGATCCAGTATTTCCTCTAACGAAAAATCCCAAACATACATAAGCTGCAGTGCTAATTAATCTGTTTTAGTTTATTATAATTTCTATTGTTAATTAATAATAAATTAACTTAATAAAAATTCATTCAATAACATAATTTGTAAAACTTAATGTAGCGTAAATTGGAATAATAAGGTATTTAATTAATATTGTAAACTATTGTAACTATAGTGAAAAAATAGGGTGGTTTGCATTAATATTAGACATAAGTGGTTGATAACTGTACCACCTCAGTCAACCGTGACCATCAAAACCAAATATATGCGATTTAAATCCAGAAAAATAGTTCCATTTCCAAAATGGAAACTCATAATCAAATGCTAGTTACGCCTAATAAAACCGTAACCAACATTCAGTTGATAGTCGACAGAATATTTATCGACTGCAGTTACTAGCTTCGTGTAAGCTAAGAAAGTACTTTTGCTCAATGAACTGTCATTTTACTCCATCGTCAAAAAAGACAGCCTATAAGTATAATATTCCCAAATACGTGGTATTTGATTCACCAGTTCCGTTA